CCTAGCGTGTACAAGTTCCTCAACACCTTGAACGGCAGCACTCAGGAGGCAGAGGCAGTGAACTTGAAGCCAGACAGGTCTAAAACCAAACAAATAAAAAAACTTGTGAGCTAAATGAGGTTTTTTTTTTTTTCTGTTATGGGACTTCCTGCAGATTTCTGAAGCTGGTTTGATTCTGGAAATGTTAGTACCTAGCTTTGGTCTGCCTTGTGTGACTGCTACCTTTGTCTCCTGTACCTTCTATCTGAAATATGCAAATCTTGAATGGGCTTCCTTTAAAGGTGCAAAGTCTGTGCAAACCAAACTGTCTCCTAACTGAGAATTTGTTTGTGGCATTGTCCCTTTGGAGACCTTAAATTAGAGGACTTGGTGTACAGAAACTGGCTTGCTAAAGGTGTGAATTGGGTAACAATAAAAAAGCCCTTTGCTAAGGTGCAGTGAATCAGTTCCCAGAGGCTGATCCCTTGCAGCTGGAAAAGGCTAAGACCACCCTCAGAGTGCCTCCGCGCCTTCGTTCCACAGACCCTGGTGAACCCACACCCGATATACGATATAACGTTCTTTGTAGGTTGCTTATCTTAGGCTTCTGTGGCAGTGATGGGAAGCTGACTAACACAGGGTAGAACACTTGTCAATGGAATTAGCGCCTGTGTGAGATGACAGCATAGATAGCACGCTCTCCATGGATGAGGGCAGAAAAAACCTCAGAAAACCAGAAAAAAAAATCCTCTAAATGCTGAGTACCTCACTGCTATGACCCTGGCTCCCAGCTTCTATCTTCAATATTGAGAAAATAAATGTCTTGTTTGTTTGTTTTCACAGTGCTGTGGGTCAAGACTAGAGTCATCTTTGCTAGTCAAGTGCCCTGCCACTGGCTTCTACCTCCAGCCTGCCTGGTTCCTGGCAACTTGCTACAGCAGCCTACACAGAGCTAAACTGTGTATCGTTTTGTGGAAGCATTTTTTTCTTGTTTTCTATATTGTTAAAATCTTAATGGGACAAAAGAAAAATAATTAATTTAAGGAATCTGTCATAATGAAAAAGAGACTTCTGTGTTCCCACCATTATTCTAGCGTAGTCTCCGCTTCTTAGCCGAGATTCTCTGTCTTCTTCGATTTCTACCTTGCCTCCACACTGTCTGGACCCAGAAGAGGTTACTTCTGATAAACCTGATCCCCTTAGGAGTTCATTATCAGTTTGCATTTCCTGGGATCTGTAAAACCCACATGGCATTTGACATCCCCCAGAGACTGATTGGTTAATTCTGCAGACTTAGTTTCTATCTTTAGGGAGTTATTTCTGACATTAGTTTTTGACCAAGGAAATACTTTATTTCTGCAAACTCAGTCATGTCTCGGGCTGCCACTATTCTGTGCTTACTCACCCCTCTCTCTGCATTTAGAGCCCGAGATAGTCTCTGTGAGAAATTTCCCCATGGGCTTGGGTATTTCAACACTTGATTTCCAGGTGGTGGCTCTGGTGCCGGCCCGGGGGCGGGGATAGGTTGTGAACCTTGCTAGAGAAAATATGTCACTGGGGGACAGGCTGTGAGATTAAAAGCCTCATGCCATTTCCAGTTCCCTCTCTCTGGTTCCTCCTTACCATTGGAATTCTCGGCTTCCTGATCCTGAAGCTACGCTGGCCATGCTGCTGTGCCCCCACCCCACGACAGAATTCTGTCATCCCATCAGCCCAAACAACTCCCCCTGAAGTTGCTTTGGTCACAGTGTTTTATCACAGCCCCAGAGAGGTAACTAGTGCGGAACAGATGGGGAAAGCTCAAACTGACGTGATCCGTAGCGTGGAATACACCTTAGTTACTTCCTGCCATCTCTGGAGCAACTTAAGGAATGAAGGTTTAATATTTTGGCTCACAGTCTGAAGATGCAGCCCTTCATGGTGGGGAAGGCGAGATGTCAGGACTGCGAGGAGCTCATGTTTGTGGCAGTCAGAGGCTCGAGCCCGGTTTCTTCCTCTATCACGCTCTACCTACTTTCTGAGGTTTCTCACCGAATGTGGAGCCTCCAGGATTTCTCCTGTCCTTTCCTTCCCACAGCAGGCATATGATACCACACTCAGCTTTTATGTAGGTCTAGGGGATCTAAGCTCAGGTCCTCTTGCTTGCAAAGCAAGCATTTCACCAACTGTGCCGCCTGCCTAGCTCTACTACCTCACATTTTAAGGCTTTTTATTATGAAAATTTGAAGCATACTAAAAATAGCTAGACTAGTATAATGAATCATGGTGTTACCAACATGTAGTTCTACAAGTTACTAATTCATGGCCAACCTAGTTTTATTTATATTTCCATTTGATTTTGAAGAAAATTCCAGATATGTGAATTTGTCTTAACTAATTTTTATGTAGTTTATGGCAATAGTTGTTATTAATGAGGAAAACTGAGGGGAGAAAATCCAATAAGCAATGATTAGAACCTAAGTTTAGTTGAAGAAGGTTGCAGCTCATTTAGCACAATAGATTCATTGTGATGGCTAACCTTGATTGTCAACTGGATGGGGTTTGATCATCAGGAAAATCAATCTCCAGACATATTTGCAAAGAAGTTTCCAGGTTGAGTTAATTGATGTGGGAAGGTCCACCCTAAATGTGGGTGGCATCATTCCTTGGTCTAGGATCCTAAACCAGGGGACAAAAAGGAGCCAGGTGTGGTGGCGCACGCCTTTAGTCCCAACACTTGGTAAGTAGAGGCAGGCAGAGTTCTAAGATAGTGAGATCAGGCAGTGAGACCTTGTACATAATACAACCAGCTGCTTCATGCTTTGCCACCATGCTGTCCTGGCCATGATGGGAGTCAAAACAACCCCTTTCTTCCTCCAGTTGCTTTGGTTAGATATTTTGTTCCAGAAAGGCATGAAGTAACTGACAGATTTTACACATTAATAATCTGAGTTAAATATTCCCCACCTGTTTTCAGTGTTCAGAGAAGGGAGATTTTACAGGACATCTTAAAAGCAAAGAAGCAGCACAGACTCTGAAAATCATGAGTAAACACAGGAACGTTGTTGCCTTTTGCTGTCATATATCAAAAAAATTTAGAAGAATCCACACAAAAATAATGAAAATGGCTAATTAGATGATGGGAAATGAGTAGGTGTGGACACAGGAGGGAGTAGAGATAGTTTCTTGTGTTGCTGGAGACACAGTGGGTTTGTTCACGTCGTTCATACATCCCAGTGAGCTACACTTAGCGCTGTTAACCTCTATATTGTTACAGCTCTGTTTTCGGACCATGTGCACATACCTTAAAGGTAAGATCTGAAATATCATAAGCATATAAACATCACAATAATAAGAAAACATTTTTCTAGTATGTTCTACTGTTATATGGTCAGCTAGGTTTGACTGTATTATTACCTGAGTACCAAAGCCATTTTCATACAAGTAGCTCTGTAATTTTAATACTTAATCTTTAACAAAGGCATCATAAACATGTTCTGGTACGAAAAGTCTCTTTAACAAATAGTTCTGGAAGAATTGCATGTCAGCATTAATGTGTCTTTATGCATGTCTGCATGTAGAAGAATGAAGTCACCCTCCTACCCTGAGGAAAAACTCATTCAAAATGGACCAAATACCTTAGGATTAGACTTGAAACCTTAAGATTGCTAGAGGAAACAGGAAAAATGCTTCAAGAATAGACAAGGACTCCCTGGAAAAGATTCTAATCGTACAGGAAATAATCCTAAGAGCTGACAAACAAGACTGCATAAGATCTTCAGTGCCACAAAGGACGCAGGCACTGGGGCGAGGACCCAGCCTGCCGAAAGGAAAAAATAAAATCTTTACTGACTGTGTCTGACAGGAGATCAGTGTTTGAAAAATATACAGAACCCAAAAGTTAAAAACCAAAAATCATATAACTAATACATGAGCTAATGAATTGAATAGGTAGCTCTCCAAGGAAATGAAATACAAATGGCCAATAAAGATTTCAAAGTGTGCTTAATTTCCCTAGCCATCATGAAAAAAATTAAAATTGCTTCAAGATTCTACTTCACCCCAGTTGGAATCAGCAGTCAAACAAAGGACAACAAATGCTGACCAGGTCATAGGAAGAAAGGAATCTTCATTTACTCTTGGTAAAAATATAAACTGAAACAGCCTATATGAAAATAAATCTGGAGACTCTCCAAAGTACTAACAACCCCCATATAATCCAGCCATACCCAAGGAGTCTAAGTCAGCAGGCACACCCACGTTCTTTGCTGCTGTATTCATAACAGCTAAGAAATGGGGTCAAACAGCAATCAACAGACAAACAGAAAAGGGACACAGTGGAGTCATCTTCAGCTATAAAATTTGAATGAAATTATGACATTAATAGAAAAATGGATGGAAAGATGACAAACTCAGAAGACAAATAAGTTTTATTTCATATGCGCATTCTAGATTTAAATGTATACACACATTGTACAATGTGTATTGTTCATGTATGTATGTATGTAGGATATGGAGATAGGAAGCAACTATAGAAAGAGCTAAAGGGAGGGAGCAAGAGAGGGTGATAGGACGTGTGTGCCATGAAATCAGAACGTGGGAGGGGATTCACTCACAAGAAATGGAGAAGAGACGTGAGGAAGGGTAGGAGGGCAAATAAACATAATAACAATAAAATAATAATAATATGTATTGGGGGCTGGAGGAGAGTTGACTCAGCCGTTAAAAGCTTAACGTTAAAATCTTTAAAAATAATAACAATATGTATCATGAAAGCATCTCAAAGAAACTAATTATTTTTCTGTATGTTAGCCAAAAATCTAAATTTTGAAAAACTAGTCTTTTTTTCAAAAAATTGAAAAATCTTTGTAATTAAAAAAATCTCACCTTGTTCTTTTTTGTTAAGATTTATTTTTTATTATGTATATAGTATTCTGCATACATATATCCTATAGGCCAGTAGTAGAGGGCACCAGATCTCATTACAGATGGTTGTGAGCCACCATGTGGTTGCTAGGAATTGAACTTTGAACCTTTGGAAGAGCAGTCAGTGCTCTTAACCTCTGAGCCACCTCTCCAGCCCTCTTTTTTTTTTTTCAGTAACTTTAAGTATTATAGTTCAACCAAGAAGTTTTATTTTTGAGACAGGATCTTATTATATATCCCAAGCTGGCCTCAAATTTATGGCAGTCCTCCCAAGTGCTGGGATTACATGCGCGAGCCCTAGGTTCTGTTTCAGCAAAGGGTTAAATTTTGTACAGAGTTCTCTAGACGGCTCTCATCCTTCTTGGGTCGTCTCTTCAGATGCATCCTTCCCTCAGCTCAGCAAGTGAGAGCTCTAGCTTTCTCTGATTTGGTGTGCTATCTCTCCAGTCCTCCAGCCCACTCCGGCTCCTTTCCTCACAGTCTAGTGGTGGTGTCTCTCTTCCCCCAGGCTTGCTCATATATGACTGTCTCTCATGCTCTCGGAAGCGTTATGTCCAGAAAGGATGCATTCAGTAAAACTGACCCTAGAAAGTTGACTCAAAACCCAAATCACATTTATTTCAGAAGAGCAGCTACTCCTCCAGTCTGGGGCTCAGAGCAGCTTAGCACACTTGCTGGGTTTCCAAGCATTAAGACTCACGCCAGATGCAAAGGTAAACTCTTGGCACATGATTATTAAGAGAGTAGAAGATAGGCCAAGACAAAGAAGTCATGATTTAGCAGGCTGGAGGGAAGGCATCAGAACTGTTCATAGCTCTGGCTGGAAAGTGGTCAGGAAGATGGGAAGGAGGGAAAGGGCAGAACTCAGTGAACTGAAGTTTGAACCTGAGTTGAGTCTCCAGTAAGGAGCATGTGATGGAAACACAGAGATGTCCGGGATCCTTGGCAGTGGTTAGGGTGTGTGGGGTTACATGTGATATGTTTGGTAGAATATAAAGAATATGGCAGGGAGAAGCAACAGGAGAGAGACGGTACAGGCAGTCGTACTATCTTTCACACCCTTGGGCTCCCATTATTTTCTGCCATAGAACCCAAGGGAAAGATTCACACTATCATTTTAAGTCCTCAGGGTGAAAAGATGATGTCTGTGCTACTGGGGTTACACATTTCTCCCTGAGTGTCATGAAGAGAGAGGCAGTTGATGCGGGCCAGATCTCTTCCATAGTTAACGCTGCTTTTACAGCTGCCTGGAGGGCGGGACAGTTGATGGCTTTCATTAAGAACGCATTCGGCTCCTTTCCAGATTTACCAGGCAGTGTCTAGGAAATTGCCTCAGAATTACAAATTTCTCCTGAGTCCCTTGGGCTGTGTTTGCACCCCCACCCTCTCCTCTTTCCTTTGGTAAGCTCCTCACATCTGGATCAAGTCTTGTTTCCTGACCAGAAACTGAAGCGGCACATAGAAGATCTTACCTTTCAGTACAGAGATCTATCAGAGAGCTCAAGAGCTCTTCCCTGTGCTCAGTCTAAAACCAGGAGCCGGGAAGAACGGGTCTAAAAGCAGAAAATGGACACTCTCTACCTGAAATCCGACAGCAAGACAAGGAAAGAAAGATAGCGCTTTTCAACCTCTAGAGATGAAACCAGCTGTGGGTGAGTGTGTTGTATTCTCAGTGTAGAAGTGATCCTTTGCGCTCACCCCTTGGTTCCAGCCACTGTCCTAGTAGTGACGTTGTAGAACGCTGAGACAGCTTCGTTCACGTGCTTTGTGCCTGCACAGCCTAGAGCACTGGTCGTGTTGTAGAGGCCGTACTTTCTGCAGAGAGGAGGCTGGGCCCTGACATTTGACTTGCTTGTGGCAAAAGAAGGGACAATAGATCCAGGAATGATGGTTTATGGCTTTAACCACATCCCTCAGGAGACAGAGGCAGACCCATCTCTTTGAATTCAAGGCCAGCCTGGTTTACACAGCAAGTTCCAGGCCTGCTTAATGAGACCCTGTCTCAAAAAACAAGCAATCAAAGGAAGAGAGCCTGTGAAGGAACAGTGAGGCCCCCTCCTCAGGGTCAGAAAGCCCTGTGCTCGCCAGACAGCAGATCAGCACCAGAGGCCAGGGCGGAAAGCCCAAGGGGACGGCGGTACCCAATTCCCTTTGTTTTCCCCGAGTGTAGCATCCTTCCCTTGGAACTCCGAGGATACCAGGTTACTGTCAGCGTCACAGTCAGAACGCTGGAAAGTCCAAAGAATGGAGGGGACATTGACTCATAAACTGGGGAAGATCAATATTTCAGGGTCCTCCACTTACGAACGTATTAATGGCACTTGGGAGTGGGTGAGTCCCTTCAGATAAAGACTGACTCAGGCCAGAAGGTGACTTCACAGGGAATGCTCCCCCACCGAGGCTCAGTTTCGATGTCCTTCTTAGCAGTCTACACACACCAGCAGCATCTCCTCCTGTCACAAGCCCTGACTGCTGTTTTATCACTAGCAACGTGGCCTGCCTCTGAGTCGCCGAAGAAAGCAGAGGTAACACGGCAGCCCTGACCTACACAGTGTGATTTCTGTAAAAGCTGGAGGGAGGATGGACACTGGATGAGCCCCGAAGGTCACGAAGCTGCTCTGTCCAGCGTTTCCCACGCACACAGAGGTGAGGAAGGATAAAAGAGTGAGTCAGGAGCCTGAGGTGTGGCTAGGCATTGGATGGTTGGGGTGCGTTCAGAACGGTGTGGCTGAAGAAGAATCAATGTTTTTTAAATTAATTCTGATGTTTTGCTACTGAGAGTTTTTAATTAGTGTTTTCTTTCATGTTTTCCTTATCTTTTAACGGAGACTTCAGAATACTACCATGCAGTCTATTTTTATTTATTTTTTAGTTGGTGGGACTGGAAGGACTTGAATCAACTCGGTTTCCAATTTACTTAATTATAGTCAGGAATTTGTAGTTCTGTTTCTGACAGTCCAGTGGAGCTGGTTTTGGGAACGCTTTGGACTGTGGTCCAGAAGGGAAAAGGCTTCATGAACTCACATTAATATTAACAAGCGTATTGAGCTTGAAGGCAGCAGACCAGCTGATGAAGTAATGTGGCTTCCTATTGTATCCTCTCTTCACATATTACAACCTACTCCAGAAATGCAAGTGTTTTGTGGAAATCTGAGTTTGGCTAAATTCTTCATTCCTTGTAAAAATTCTCCATAAAAGGGAGAATTGGTGTATAAAAGGGCTCAGTTTCTACTGCTAATTGTTTAGTTAGGTAATTGAAATGCAAACAAGGGCTCCAATCCTTGATCGTCTTTCCAACGTGGTGGCAAGCCAGGCCTAGATTTTGACTCTCATCCTAGGATTTTCGCAGGCACTTCATTTGTTAGGTTGGCATTGGAAACTCTTTTGAATTCTGTGTCCTGTTATTTCACTTGCTCCTTAAAAAAAAAAAATGCAACCGAGGAACCCAGTGTTCTTAGCCCAGTGAGTAGAGACACAAGACTTTAAGGGCAGGCGTCAGCCGCAGCTCTGTTTCTTCCCAGAATCATGTCCTTGTATTTTTACCCAGTTCAGACCTTCAGAGAGAGTTTTCTCTTCATCACAAAGAACCATCCGTCAAGATTTAAGAATGAGACTTGTGGAGATACAGGTTCCTGACAGTTTCTTAAGAGCGAGCTGCCTTTTAGAGGAAATTTCTCCTGCTATGTCAGATAGCGACCTTGGGTTTCAGGATGCGTGACAGGACCCTCCGTCCCGACCACGTTAATATTGTCTTACAGGTGGGAGAGATCACAATGGCTCCATGTGGGAACCACAGCGATGGGACTACAGAGTTTGTCCTGGCCGGCTTCCCGAACCTGAACAGCACAGGCGTGGAACTGTTTTCTGTGTTCTTTCTAATTTATCTGCTGACTCTAACAGGGAACGTGCTGATTGTGGGGGTAGTAGGCGCCGATCAGCGTCTGCAGACGCCCATGTATTTCTTCCTGGGTAACTTGTCCTGCCTAGAGATTCTGATCACGTCTGTCATCATTCCTAAGATGCTGAGCAATTTCCTCTCGAAACAGCACACCATTTCCTTTGCCGCGTGCATTGCTCAGTTTTATTTTTACTTCTTTCTTGGGGCCTCCGAGTTCCTACTGTTGGCGGTCATGTCTGTGGATCGCTACCTGGCCATCTGCCGTCCTCTGCATTACCCCTTGCTCATGAGTGGAGCTGTGTGCTTTCGCGTCGCCCTGGCCTGCTGGGTAGGGGGACTCCTCCCTGTGCTCGGCCCCACGGTGGCGGTGGCCTTGCTTCCATTTTGCAGACAGGGAGCTGTGGTGCAGCATTTCTTCTGCGACAGTGGCCCCTTGCTTCACCTGGCGTGCGCCAACACCACGAAACTGGAGGAGGCCGACTTTGTTCTCGCCTTTCTGGTCATTGTATCCTCTCTCGCCATCACCGCCGCGTCCTACGGCCGAATAGTCCTGGCTGTCCTGCGGATTCCTTCCGCTTCGGGCCGGCAGAAGGCCTTCTCCACCTGCAGCTCCCATCTGATGGTGGTCACCCTCTTCTATGGCAGTGCGGTTTTTCTCTACGTGCGGCCGTCCCAGAGCGGCTCCGTGGACGCTAACTGGTCAGTGACTGTGATAACCACGTTTGTGACGCCCCTGCTGAACCCGGTGATCTATGCCTTACGCAACGATCGCGTCAAGGAAGCTTTGAAAGATATGTTCAGGAAAGTCAGAGTAGAGCTCTCTGAAAATTCCTTCCTTTCAGAAAGTTTGAGGAAGAAGACAGTGAGCTGAGATAAAGGGACTGAATTCCGAATCCCTGCACCCTCTCTGTCAAGGAGCCGCACAGAGCATCAAAGACGCCCACTCTAAAGTTCCTTCTCAGGTAAAACTCTACCTTATGCCCAGGAATACCAGCGCACGCTATTTTTAATATTTTATTTTTATTTTACTTATGTGTCTGTGTGGGGGTATGGGATGTACACATGAGAGAGCAGGAATTAGATTCTCTGGTGGGCAGACACAGCGAGGGGCTGTGCTAAGTAATAAAGGTGGCCGACTCCCAAGACGGCTGGCTTCTTCCTTACCCTTCAGGCGCTCGGCTGACGGACTGTTACACAGCAGTTATGGGCCAACTGGCTATTCTGTCTTTCATCTTTCTTCGAACTGATCAGCCCATTAGGGGAGGGACACTCTTTAGAGATTTTAGAGACCCTAGCCCTGTAGAAGAGACTGGGTTTTTTGTTTGTTTTTGTGCTTTTTGCTCCTTGGGTGTCCTCTCTTTCGCAGAAGGTCTTTTTGTTTGTGCATCTGCAGCATGTGTGTGTTCCCAACCCTCGACAAACACCTTTCTTCACCTGACCCTGTCTGCTCCCATTTTCATAGCTGGGATTTCTCCACTGCTGTGTGTCCCACTTGAGAGATTTTTTTCCCTGCCCTTTAATTCTTTAACTGGCAGAGAAAGTGAACCCGATCAAGACCCGCAGAGGCCATCGTGGGTGCTGGGAACCAAACTCGGATTCTCTGGACGAGACCATTGAGCCGTTTCTCCAGCCCAGCTCATACTGTTTGATATATCAAGATCCAATGGTGGTTTTGTCTCCCACCCATCAGCACAAACCTGGAGGGTTTGCCCGTCTGTGAGCTTGTCTGGGTGTGGAATCTGTTAAACACCCCTACGCAGACATCTAGGAATATCTGTGTATATCCTCTACTCAGAAGTTAAAGACCAACTACACTTTCAATAAAAGTTTCCAAATAATTGATGTAAAGCAATAATATTAGAATTATTATTATATCAAAAAGAGGCCTGAGGATGTAGCTTGATTGGTAAAGGGCTTGGTTAGTATGCATGAAGTTCTGGGTTTGAACCCTATCGCTTTGTAAACTAAATGTGATAATGTGTCTTTAACCCTGATACTTCGGAGGAATCAGAAGTTCAAGGTTACTGGAATATAGAAGACGACCCCATGAATGATGATGGTGATGATGATGATGATGAATAATGGCGGGAAAGATGACTCAGCAGGTTAAAGCTTGCCCTGTTTCCAGGGGACCTGAGTTCAAATCTCTAGTACGTATGTAAAAAGCCAGCTTGCCTGCAGCGCCTACAGCTCCAGCTTTGGGAAGGAAGAGAGGTGGATCCAGTCAGCCTATGACAGTGGTGAGCTTCCAACCCAGTGAGAGATCCTGTCCCACGGTAATGAGATATGCAACATGCCGCTTTGTTTACGCATGGGAATGCATGTGCCACATACACACACACACACACACATACACACACATACACACACATACACACACATACCACACACATACACACACATACACACACATACACACACATACACACAC